ATTCTGCTTTTGGGATTGAAAATGGAAGAAGTCAATACAACTAAAAAGACTTTATTCTGGTACTTAATCACAACAGCGAGAATGATTTATGCACAATTTTGGAAAACAGAGAAAGTGCCAGAAATTGAAGACTGGATACAAAAAGTTCTGTTCATGGCAGAGATGGACAAAATTACGAAGAAGTTGAACAATAAAGAAGACGACGTGTTTTTTCAAGAATGGAGTGACTTTAAAATATATCTGGAAAAGAACTGGGATGTGAAACAAAACTTAATATGTTTAGATCAATATTAAGTCAAATGATGTTATCTTTAGATTGTAACGATAAGAAATTGATATAGTTGATGATATGAAGTAATTTGGAGCAGGGGTGGAAGCATTGCGGGAAGCCACTGGAGGGAGGGGAGGAATTGGGAATGGGGTAGACAATTGATAGAACGAAATGATTTAATTTTATATGTTGTATTCCTGAGAAAATAAAAATTTGTTTACCAAAAAAAAAAAAGATGTTGAAAATTCTTTTAAATCTGCCACACATAGCTGAAAATCATGAGGGATGAGGTTTGGGTTTGGGAGACCAAACTGCAGAGCTCGGCTCCCATAGGCTGTATGCGTTTGTTAACTTCCCTAAGGTCATGGAGTAACCTCCATTTACCAGATTTCTTTTTGATTACAAAAATAGGAGTATTCCAGGGACTGGTAGACTTTTCTATGTGGCCTGCTGCTAATTGCTCTTGTATTAAAGGCTGTAGAGCAGTTAGCTTTTCTTGAGGCAGTGGCCATTGTTCTACCCATACAGGTTCCCCAGGAAGCCAGGTTAAAGGGCGTGCATAATGCTGTGTCATGGTGGAATATCAAACTCCACCCTTGCTCCCAACTGCTGTAAAACGTCTCTTCCCCAAATATTGACAGGAAGCTCTATTACCAGCGGTCGGATCAATAATGCATGTTTTTGTGGCTCGGAGGCTCCCTACCTCTGCTTAGCTGATTTGGTGCCTCCCACGCCCCAGACCTCTCCTGTAGCTTCCAACTTCCACCCAGGGGGCCAATCCTTGGTCCGAATAACTGTGACGTCCGCGCCTGTGTCCAAAAGTCCTTTAAAAGGATGCCCATTAAGTGTGAGAGTGAGGGTAGGGCTAGATGAGGTGATGCTAGTAGCATAAGCCACTAAGATAGGATCGAGGTCAGAGGAACTTAAGGTTGACCCAAATCCTCCTTCCCCTTTCTCTTGCTGTCCTTCTTGCAGCGTTACAAGTGGAAGGAGAACAAGCGGTGCTACAGATTGCCCTAAAGACAGGGTTTGAGGAATATTCACCCAAACTTGTATTCTGATCTGTCCCTCATATTCAGAATCCATCACTCCAGGAATGGCAAAGGTCCCTTGCTCTTCCCAGCATGGGAACACGTGGGAGGATTAATCCCACAATCCCATGTGGCAAAAGGGTCCTTACAGGGCTCTTTTTGTAGCAGGAACTCATTTGCATATTAGGCGATACACACCCCTAATGTAGCCAATCCTCCAAGAGCTTACAGTAGCCCCTGTAGGAAGAGCTCTGTAAGCTCTTGGAGGATTGGCTACATTAGGGGTGTGTGGCCTAATATGCAAAGGAGTTCCTGCTACAAAAAGAGCCCGCCCACTCCTTTAACTTGCGTAGGGAGAAGTTGCACCTCTCCTGGCAGTTGAAATTTTGCTTCAGTCAGTAATTTTAAATCTAATTCTGTGCTCCCTCTAGTGGCTGGTTGCTGCTCTTTGGCTGTCTCCAAACGACCTCTTTTCACTCGGGCTGAGGCCTGCCCGCTGTCAAGTTTCCCGACTGCAACCCACTCCTACACTGATTAGCCCAATGAAACCCTTTGTGGCATTTTGGACACTTTTTAGAAGGTCGGGTAGCAGGATTTTTTGTTGAACGACATTTCCGTGGAAAATGTCCAGGCTTGCCACATTTGAAGCAGTTTTGTCCTGCCTTGCCAGATTGTTGTAAAGCAGCTGCCAGCAAGTTAGCTTTATGAGACTGGGTGCCCACATTCTGACATGTTTTTACCATATCTGCCAGAGTTAGCCCGCGAACCGCATTTAAAGGTTGCAGGGCCTTTCGGCAATTTTCATTAGCATTTTCTATGGCCAATTTTAGCAAAAGCTCCTCTGCAGCCTCGGGGTTTTCAATCTGTTTTTGTAGTGCCTCCTGCAACCTGTTTATGAAATCCACATAGGGTTCAGTAGGCCCTTGCCGAACAGTTGCAAATGATTTCCCAGGTTTGCCAGTGGAAGGCACTTTATACAGAGCGCGAAGTGCGCAATTGGCTATATAGGGAAAG